GGATGACGGCGTACTCTGGCTCAGTTCCATCGCCGCGGTAGCGGCCCAGTGTGTCGATCGATATGTACTGCCACGCTCGGGTCGGCGTGTGCGTGGACATCGGCGCCGCTGGTTGTACATTTCGTCCTTTTATTTGCTTGCAGACTAGGCACTTCTGCACGAACCTCCGGATCTCTGACTGCATCCCTTACCAATAGAAACGAGCATTGATTGCCCGCTGGGTCTCCCTCTGGCCCGGGTGTGCGCTATCCTCTCCAGCATGGTAATGTTCCAGGACCTGGGGACGCATGCCTTCGGGCACGTACGCCCGACACGTCCCGTCCTGGCGTTGCTGGCGCCGGTATCCACCAACGCCCTCAGGGGCTTACCGTGTACTTGGACCAGTACCACCGGGGCCCCTTCTTCATCCTTGGTGTTGTTTACTGCGGAGAAGCGCCCTCCCGGGTTGCGTTTCTCCGCTGGAAGTTTTCCGACGCCGTGGGTGCGTCCCGGAATCTGATCGACGTTGCCCGGTTGAAGTCGCTCGCCCTCAGATCGGTCTCCAAGGCTCTAGTTGTCGGGGCTCGTACCCCAAGAAGGCTTTGGCTGGTGTCTCTCCCGTGGCTCTGTTGGCTCGGCTTCTTAGGATCCCCGTGGCTCTGGGTAATAGCTCGTGCCACTTGGATCTCGGGTTGGTCTTCATTAATGCTCGCAGGATTTTCTTGGTCTCTTGAACTTGGCGTTCCACCGGGTTGGCCCTTTGGTGGTAGGCTGCTGAGTTCACCATTTGAATCCCCAGCTTCCGGCAGTAACGTTCCCACTTCTTAAACATGAATTGGGACGCGCAGTCGGTGATTATTACTTCGGGAACTCCGTACTTCATAAACAGCTGGTCGAGAAATGCGGTGATTGTGTTGTGACGGGCATCCTTCACAGCGACTGCTTCCGTCCACTTGGTCAGGATATCCTCGACGATCAGGGCGTATTCGGGTTCCTGACCATCACCGCGGTATCGTCCCAGCGTGTCCAGGGAGATAGTTTGCCATACTTTGGTTGGCTTGTGTGTAGACATCGGCGCGGCTTCTTGAAGATTACGCCCTTTGATCAGCTTGCAGACTAAGCAAGCCTGCACGTATCGGCGGATCTCTGCGCCCATCTGGTCCCAGTAGAACCTCCCGTCGATGGCCCGCTGCGTTTCCTTTTGCCCTGGATGGGCGCCCGCATCTCCGGCGTGGAACCATTCCAGGACTTGTCCACGCATGCCAGCGGGCACGTAGACTCGGCAGGTGTCATCTGGTCGGCGCTGGAACAGGTTGTTTTCCGCCGATACCAAGAAGTTCGCCGCCAGGCTTCGGTCTGTGTCGTCCCGGGGGCCGTCTTCTTCTACGCGCTTGATCCTCCGGACCAAGCCTTGGGTAACTGGGTCCACCAGCTGTCCCTTCAGGATGGATTGGACCAGGGGTTCGTCTTGTACCAGGCACACGGCAGGCGTCGGGATCATCTCGTTGTATTCCACGGCTGGGCCTTCAGGACACTCAGCTGCATTGCGGGATAAGAAGTCTGGCAGCTGATTGGATTTTCCCGCTACGTGTTCTATGTCGAACGAGAACTCCTGTAGTAGTAAGGCCCACCTGGTGAGCTTGGCCCTGTCGTCCTGGTGGCTTTGGAGCCACACCAAAGCCCGGTTGTCGGTCCGAATGGTGAACCGCTGGTCCTCGAGGTACTGGCGGTACCTCCTAACTGCCCAGACCATCGCTAGGCACTCCTTCTCGTTTATGTGGTAACTTTTTTCCGCCTTATGGAACTTGGAGGAGCTAAAGTGGATCAGATGACGCTGCCCTTCTGGATCCTGCTGCATTAGGACGGCGCCCATCCCTTCGTCCGACGCGTCCACCTGGAGAATGAACCTCCATCCTGGGTGCGGCCGCTCCAACTTCTGTGGCTTCTCTAACGCAATCTTGGTGTTGACCCAGCTCTCCTCGCAGGCGGTAGTCCACAGGAACTTCTCGTTTCCTGTCAGCTCTGTCAAGGGGGCCACCAATGTTGCCAAATTCGGAATGTAGCCGCGAATCCAGTTGACTAGACCCAAAAACGCCTGAACCTGACGTTTGTTTCGGGGCCTCTCAAAATTCTTCACTTTCAGGAGATGACATTCCCTGGCTCTAGTGAAAGGTCCCTCTACTTCGTACCCCAAGTATGGCAGGCGGGTTGTCGCAAACTTGCATTTCTCGGGATTCAGACGTAGTTGGTGGACCTCAATCTTCTCTAGCACCCTCTGCAGGTGCTCGACGTGTTCCTCGTAGCTCTCGGAATAGACTATGATGTCATCTAGGTAGACCTTCACGTACTTGTTGAGAATACCAGCGAACATCTCGGTCATGGCGCGCTGGAAAGTCGCCGGCGCAAGCTTCAAACCGAACGGCATCGCCAGGAACTGGAACTGGCCCCCTGAAGGCGTGAAGAAAGCCGTGTATTTCTTCGATGCGGACTCCATGGGAAGCTGCCAGTAGCCACTGGTCAAATCCAGGCTCGTAAACACCTTCGCCTGCCCCAGGTCTCGGACCGTTTCCACGATCGGGGGCAGCATACTGACTACGTCGGACGTTCGCTTATTCAGCTCCCTGAAGTCCACGCAGAACCTCCAGCCTTCGGTTTTCTTCACCAGTATGATCGGAGATGCATATGGTGAATTAGAGGGCTCGACAATGCCCCCCTGGAGCATCTGTTCCACCTGCCGTTCGATCTCGGCCGCCTTCTCTGGAGAATACTTCCTGGGGCTCGTTCGGAACGGTGTCTTGTCATGCAGCTCAATGCGGTGCGACCGCAACACCTGGGATGGCGGGCGCATCTTGCTGCTGAACAACCCCTGATGACGCTTCACCAGGTCCCTCATCTGTCCTTGGAGGCGGTCGGGAACATCTGTGGACACCTCTGGAAGGCGAATGCCTTCCGCCGGAAGGTCCGGGTCCTCTTCATGCCTCCAATAGATCGCAAGCCGCTCTCGCTTGCCCAAGTATACGCAGCTGCGTGCTACGTCGACCAACGCCTGCTGCTCTCTCAGGAAATCCATTCCCAGGATCATCGGGTAGGGCAGGTTTCCGACTACGTGCATCCTGTGCACGTAAGACTGCCCGCGGATCCTGAAGTGGGTCCTGGAAACGCCCAGCACTTGAAGCTGGACCTCGCCGACGGTCCTCACCTTCCTGGCTTCCGGAAGGTACTGATCAGCATATGCCAAGTCCAACAAGGTGATGCTCGCCCCGGTATCCACCAGGGCCTGTAACGTCTGCCCGTGCACCTGCACTGGTATCACGGGCGGTCCCATGCCTTCAGGTATGGTATTTACTTCGGAGGGGTACTTCTGGGTTCGGCACCCCTCCTCTGGAAGTTTTCCGAAGTAGTTGGCTGCTCCCTGAACTTGATGTGGGTGGCCCGGTTAAAATCACACGCCCTGAGATCCGTCTCCAGCGTGCGTGCGTACCGGGTCATCTCGTCCATACGCATCGGCATCCTGAGGCGTAATGCGTATCGGACACGGGGTAGCAGCAACTCAAATACTATGTCGACCAGGCTGTCTTCTTTCGTGTCGGGAAGCAGCCATCGAGCCATCGAACGCTTCCGCTGGATGAAGCGAACCACATCTTCTTCGTCCGATTGACTCTCGCCGTACAGCTTGGAAATCAGCTTGGTTATACGGCCCTTGGACATGAAGGTCTCGGTGAACTCGGTGATGAACCGCTTCCAGCTGATTTCTTGCGTTTTGTACCACGCAAATGTAGCTTCTTCCTTGCCCTTTATCTGACCTAGTGCATGGAAGGCCCACTCGTCTTCGGGAATATGTCGCTTCTTCTGGGCTTCTTCCATCTTCCGAAGAAAGTACCTGGGGTCCTCGAAGTCTTCTCCAGTGAAGGACGGAAAGACGCTTCGCTGGACTGGGACGTCCTTCAGGGCCCGCGCCATTTCATACACCATTTCCCCGAGGTCCGGGTATAAGGGTCGTGACATCGGAACTGGTGGTAATTCGTCCGAAAATGTCTCTGCTGCTCGGGCGCCATGTTGTACACGGACCTCCGGGTCCGGTTGAATCAAGGAAGTCACCGGCCCTGGTGCCGGTATTCTTCCGGGTTGGCCCTCGAGGATCGTGGTGGCTTCGGACGGCGTCAGGGGCTGGCCGTCGACGTGGGCAGCCTGGGGGTCCAGATTGACATCCTCCTCGAACGAATCTTCGGCTGGATGGAAATCATCCACCTCGGTGTCCCCCAGATGTGTCGGGTCCTGGCCCGTGGCGTCAGTCATCGCGGCTTGGCTGCGGGTGGTGACCATGGACAGCGTCGCCTCGGCGGGTGGCCTGGATCGGCCCTACAGGGACCTGGGAACGGCCCGGTAGCTGGCCTAGGATCGGCCCAGAAGCAGGCCTGGGAACGGCCCTGCGGTTGGCCTGGGAACGGCCCTGCGGTTGGCCTGGGAACGGCCCTGCGGTTGGCCTGGGAACGGCCCTGCGGTTGGCCTGGGAACGGCCCTGCGGTTGGCCTGGGAACGGCCCTGCGGTTGGCCTGGGAACGGCCCAATCGCTGGCCTGGGATCGGCCCACTCGCTGGCCTGGAAACGGCCCTAATGGGGGCCAAGGATCGGCCCCGCTGGAAGCTGCGACGTCCGTAGATACGGTCCAAATGGCCACTGCCGAAGACAGGGACCTGGGGCTCTGCTGGACGTCTGCTTCTCGTGCTCAGTTCTAATAAGAACTCTTGATGCCTGCACTCAGGACTTGGACAGGATCGCTTCGGTGGAACACCAGGTGTCTGCCTCGGGTCCTCGATGCTGGTTTGTTCTGATAAGAACAAATTTTGCCTGTTCACAGGTCTTGGGCAGGAACTGCTGGTGGGTTAGCCCAGTCGTCAAATAAAACAGTAGGTAGGTATAAGTCGACGGTTTGCTGCTTGATACCAGGGGCACTGGTGTCTTAACTCTTGTCTAGCTCAAGAGGAACTGCCTTGAAACGACTCGCGTCGTTTCTTTTATAGCCGAACGGAACCTCAGTCGTGCTCTGATTCGCCACGATGTGTGGCCAATCAGGTGCAAGCAGCGACTGAGGACCGTTTCGACAACGGCTGTTGTACTCGATCGTGTGGGACGGACGAAATCGTAGAATCGCCCGTCACCAACATCGGTATTCTTCCGGGTTGGTTCTCTAATACGACGGTTGCATCCGAGGATGGCGGGGAAAGTGGACCTGGGGCTACGAGGTCCGCCTCGTCGATGATGCTGTCCTCGGCCTCGTGGAAGTGGTCAACCTCCTCGGTGACCACTTGGTTGGAAGCGGCGACGCCTTCTGTAGTCGGTTCCGACATCTTGGTTTGTGACCGGGTCAATACCATAAGCGATGTCTATGGATAGGCCTGGAAACGGCCCGTAATGCGGCCTAGGATCGGCCCTGCAACTGGCCTGGGATCGGCCTTGCAACTGGCCTAGGATCGGCCCTGCAACTGGCCTGGGATCGGCCCTGCACTTGGCCTGGGATCGGCCCTGCAACTGGCCTGGAAGCGGCCCACTCGTCGGTCTGGGAACGACCCTGCTGAGGGCCAGGTAAAGGCCCTGCTGGATACTCCTCTTGTTCCACTAGGTGTCTCGTACGGGGCCGCTGTCGAAGACCAGCGACCAAAGCACACGTCGTGGAAATAATCCTAACAAGGACTGATTGCCCCTCCTGAGGACTTCGAAGCGAAGCAGTGAAGTTTCTCTTAGGGGTAGCTCTGATAAGAGCCGGGTTTTGCCTGTGCACCAGGTCTTTGGAATAAAACACCAGAGTAGCTTGTATAGACGGTTTGATGTAGGCCACCAGTAAGCTGGGGGCTTGTCGAATCGTAGCTCAAGTGTCACTTGAGGTATCTCGATGATGACTGACTTGAACGGTGCTCGGACCGTTCTTTTATAGAAACGCGGACCTCAGCCGTGTTCTGATTCGTCCCGATGTTGGACCAATCAGAGACGAACAGCGACTGAGGCCCGTTTCGACACGGCAAGAGGTAGTTTAAACAGCGCGGACGGAAGACTGAACGTCGCAGTCTATCCCGTTGGGTGCAACTTTTGTTCCCAACCCAATTTATTCGCCTTAAATCCCAAATTCCATCACACTCCCCCCAAGCCTTCGGAAATTTCTTCCGTGGAAAAATTCCACGCCGAAAGCAATACTAAAGAGGTCCCTGCTTTTGGCAGGTCTCTAAAACTAGACCGCACTCCTGTTAAAGGTGCCAAGCCCCATACCCTTGCCAAACCAGACCGCCCCAAGGACCCCAAGAAGGGCAAAAAAGATAAAGATAAGAAGAAAAAGTCTGGCAACTCAACAGGGGGCGATTCAAAGCTCCAAAACAAGACCAAAACTTCCATCTCGCCCAACATAGAGGAAGCCATTGCCAAACTGCACTCCAAAAATCTTTTTCAAGAGCCCAAAATCCAAAGCCATGAGGAAATTCGCCTCCAACGGAAAAATGCCAGACTCATGGGCATGGTAGAGAGCCTGACTGCCCAACTTTCTACTCAGTCTGCCCAAATCACTTCTTTACAAAAGCAAATAGATATTCTCAACTCAAATATAATATATCTCACTCACACGGCCCAAGACAGGTCTGCTTCTAACCCTGACCTCTATCCAAACTCGGAAAACTCAAATAAACGCAGGAGAGTATTCTCCCCTGCTAAAACAGCGAGCCCGACCGCTGAACTCATGGACCACACTGCTACTCTTACATCATCTGCTCAAGCCTTTAATTTTCGTCCTCTGCCTCCACCCCAGGCTCCCGCTCTACCACCTGCGGTTACCAACCCTACAGTTCAGGTATCAAACTATATCCCCCCCACGTCCAAACACCCCCCAGCTTTTGTCAAACCTACCCAGCCAAAAAACACTCCTGGCCCAACCAACTACTCCGCCCCAGCCAAAACAACGGTAACCCCAGAACCATCAACATCTGCAGGTCCCCAAGTGCAACCCCAACCCAAGCAGGACAAAATCCCCCCAATTATCCTCAGACAAAAATCCCGGTGGACCATGGTATCTGGGGCCATAACCAAACTCGGTTTCTCTTTTTCAAAAGCCGTCAATACTCAAGACGGAGTCACCAGCGACGACTACCGCGGCATAACGAAATTCCTCTCCGAAAATGGGGAGGAATACCACACTTTCATGTTGCAAGAGGAAAAAACTCTACAAGTTGTCATCAGAGGACTCCCGCTAGAAATCGCCATTTCAGATATCGAAAATGATCTTATTGACCATAAATACCGCCCCACCCTTGTCACCAGGATGCGTCGTGGCCAACTTAAGACTGAAATGCCCCTTGTTTTGGTCAAGGTGCCCCCCGAAGAAGAACGTATTTTCGGCTTGTCTTATCTCTGCCGCATTAAAGTCAAGGTAGAAGCGCTCGAACGCAAAAGCACAATTACACAGTGTTACCGTTGCCAAAAGTTTGGCCACGCACAGACAAAGTGCTCTGCATTTCCCCGCTGCGTCAAGTGCGCAGTTGATCACCATTCATGGGAATGCACAAAAGCCAAAGAAGTCACCCCCAAATGTGCCAACTGCGGCGGTCCCCACACGGGCAACGCTCCGATCTGCCCCAAAAATCCAAATGCCAAGCCACCACCGACAGCCCAGGCTTCTGCCACTCTTCCGGCAAATAACACTCCACCCGTTACCGGCAAAACATATAGCCAGGCCACAAATCTTCCTCCCGCAGCCACACAAACCACAACGGGCCACAGTTTTTCCCCAGACATGACAACACTCATGGCAACCCTCATTAATACAATAAACAGCCTCACCGCCAGAATGGACGCTAAATTCTCAACACAAGATCAAGCCATCCTAGCCCTATCGCAGTCCATCGCCACATTGCCTAAATAATGCCAGCAAACCATAAAGCCCCCTCTCTGGACATCATTGTCTGGAATGTCAACGGTATAAAGTCCAGAAAGCTGGAGATCGAGGCCCTACTAAATGAACTTCGCCCAGACCTGCTCTTGCTTACTGAGACAAGAATCACAGGTAATTTCTCCCCCAAATTCGCTGGATACTGTGTTTATAACTATCCCAGGCCAGCGCAGAACGGCGGGGGTGGCATCATGTTACTTGTTAACCCTTCTATTTCACACTGTTCATGCTTAAACATCCAAGCGCAACATGACACCCTCGAGCACGCTGCTGTCTATGTGGAAACCAGTTTTTCAAATCGACTTAAAATAGCAGTGGGGTATTTCCCCCCAGGCCACCCCTTCCCCGAAGGCGAATTCACCGCGGCCCTAGCTGAAGACATTCCCACCTTTTTCGGCGGCGATTTCAACGCCAAACATCATACATGGAACAGCCGAAACCCCAATCGAAATGGAAACAAGCTTTACCATCTGGCCATGTCTTCAGCCTGGGACGTCCTAGGCCCCGAGGACACCACTCACGCCTAAGCCCACCACCTTCCAGACGTGTTAGACATCTCAATTCTTAAAAACTACTCGCTGGAAGCCACTGCCCTCACAATCACTGGCTCCACTTCAGACCACAGCCCCGTCAAATTCCATCTAGGCCCTCTCCGTCCCCGAAACCAAGTGAAAACAATCACGAAAACAAGCTGGTACACCTATCACCGCCTCCTGTCGGCCAATGAAGATCTAACGCTTACCCCCACGACGCCTGAAATGGTGGATGCCCTTGCCATCCAAATTTCTCAACAAATCCACTCAGCACTCCAGCGGGCCACTTACGCTAAAACTGTCCCGATAATGTGCCCCTACGATATCTCGCAGGAAACCAAAACCCTAATTAGTGAAAAAAGGCGGGCAAAAAAGAGGGCTGAACGTACACTAAACCCGGCGGACAGGAGAACTTACAACCGACTGGCAAGCCAAGTAAAAACGGCGCTGGCCGACCACAGAAACGCCCGATGGGGGCACACTCTCCAAAACCTGGACCCTGCAAAGAGTAAAGACATATGAAGAATAATCAGGGGTCTAAAAACCATGAGCCACCGCAAAATCACCCCTCCAGGGTCCAAACGGCCTCCTCTACACAGACCAGGAGAAGGCTGACTGTTTTGCAGAAGTCCTTGAGTCCCAATTCACCGACAATCCTCCCCTACCAAGGCATGTAGAGGAGGACCGCAGAATGGTGGACTTTGTAGACGAATTCCTTGCCGATGACTATCCGGAAACCATCAGGCCAATCTCTTTTGACCTGATTACTACCACCATTAAATCACTAAAAAACAAAGTCGCTCCTGGAGAGGATAAAATTACCAACCTGGCCCTCAAACACCTGCCCAGAGTTATGATCAGTAACTTAACAGCTTTGGTAAACGGCGTATTACACACCTCTCATTTCCCCTCTTCCTGGAAAAGGGCCCAAGTAATCTTACTTCCCAAGAAGAAAAAAGCCAGGCATCTTCATGAAAACTTCAGGCCTATCTCTCTTTTGCCCTCCCTGTCAAAACTTCTGGAGAAAGCCATCAAGGTCAGACTTGATGAGGAAATTGAGTCGAAAAATCTCCTCCCAGACGACCAATTTGGTTTCAGGCCACAACTGTCTACCGAGCTACAAATCACTCGTATAGCTAAGACTATCACACACGGCTTTGACTTTAAACAAAAAACAGGTATGGTGCTATTAGATATCAGTAAAGCGTTCGACAGAGTGTGGCATGTTGCCAAGCTCATAAACATGGAGAATCTCCATTGGAGATCTCACCACCTCTAGTCAAGCTTATAGCATCATACCTGTCTGGCAGGACTTTTACCACCCAAGTTACCACTCTGGCCCACCCCATACAATCAGGAGTCCCACAAGGATCTGTACTTGGACTCACTCTCTTTAATCTTTACTTGGCTGACCTTCCGCGCACTCCAGGAGTCCTGACGGCAATGTATGCTGACGACACCGCCCTCGTTTACAAAAGTTCTAACCCTGGTCTAATCGTCCGCAAACTACAAAAGGCACTGGACAGAGTCAAGTCCTGGGCCGACAGATACAGGGTTAGAATAATTCTACTCCCAGATACTTGGCTGACTGGGCCCAGGGGATGTCTTGGTTGCCGTATTTAAGGGTAGCTGGTAGCGCACCTCCTTTCCTAAATTGAATGGCCTGTGTTTTCTCTGGATTAATTATTAATCCAGAGAAAACACAGGCCATTCAATTTAGGAAAGGAGGTGCGCTACCAGCTACCCTTAAATACGGCAACCAAGACATCCCCTGGGCCCAGTCAGCCAAGTATCTGGGAGTGATACTGGACGAAAAACTAACCTGGAAAAGGCACATTGACGCCACGCTGGCAAAAATTATAGGCATCACCAAAACACTAAGGCCACTATACATCGGCAACTTTCTAAGCCTAAAGAACAAACGCACAGTCTGGATAGCGATCGTCAGGCCCATCATAACCTATGCCTGCTCAGCCTGGTCAACGGCTGCGAAAACGCACCTGAACCTGCTCGAAATCCAACAAGCTCTCCACAACGCTCTGGATTATAATCCGGACGATCGACGCCTCTACCGAGGCATCCGTGGTACCGTTCAAGACCAACTACATCACCATAGACCCCCCTAAACCAAAAACACAAATTTCACTCACAATTTACCACAAACAAGGCGCTTAACGCAAATTTTTCATGTGTCATTTATCATGTGGCTCAGTCAAACGAGGTTTTTAAGTGACCGCACCGTGCGGAAAAATTTATTTCATTTTGATTTTTTCAGTTATTTTTTGTTATTTTTTCACGAAATTTTAACACATCAAAAAGCAAATTTTAACAAGCCCTTTTGGCTTTTTGGCAAATTTTTGAAAATTTTATTTTTTATTTTTGCAACTGTGCATTACTAATTTCACCAATTCTCCAAGTAAAAACTCAAATAAAATCATTCAAGCATAACATCAATCACACTAACTATTCTTAAACCCTAGTCAATCACCAATTTCTTGCCTCACAAGTTTAATAAACTCTCTCCTCAAGAGAAATGCACAGTTTAAACACATAAAAATCATACTAATCATAAAATTCTTTACAGCTCTCCAAGGTATCAGCCATCCACTCAGTTATACCATATGCAGACAGTGGGAGCGACTGATTTATTATAACCAGCTCGTTCCCATTCCCCTGCTATATTAAGTAAAGGCCGCTGGCGGACCCAAACTACCCCACCCACATCTCACCTCATCCCAGATTTACTATGCTATAGTACTTCCACTCCCACCCATGCATTCCTATCCTCAAAGTAAGGGCAAAGGGTCACTATGACCCGTCCTTTGCTAGGGCAATAAGCCCAGTTTTATTCATTTGGAGGCTACCGGCCTCAGATGGACAATGGTTTCAAACGAACTCACCAACAAAGGCTATAATTTCTCCAAGGCGACCAATATTTCCGAAGGCATAAAATTCTACCCCTGCACGGTAATTGATTATAGACAAATCACAAAATTCCTGGATGACAACAAAGAACAGTTTCACACATACAGATTGGAGGAAGAAAGAAATCTCCAAGTAGTTTTCCGCGGCCTGCCTCTCGAAAAAGACATTAAAGAAGTGAAAATGACCTAAAAGAGCATGATATAATCCCACTACAGTCATTCGCATGAAAAGAGGTCAGGAGAAGACCGAGATGCCGCTTATTCTGGCCAAATTCCCTCTCCAAGAAGACAGGATTTTTCAGATCGAATATCTCTGCAGAATGCGGGTAAGGGTTGAAGCCCTGGAGCGAAAATCCACAATAAGCCAGTGCTTTCGCTGCCAAAAGTTTGGGCACGCACAAACAAAATGTACGGCCTCTCCCGATGCGTCAAATGCGCTGGCGCCCATTTCACCTGGGAGTGCACCAAGAGCCGTGACACTCATGCCAAATGCGCAAACTGCGGCAACGATCACACAGCAAACGCCCCAGTTTGCCCCAGAAACCCTAATTTTAAAAAACCACCCACATCGAGGCTCCCATCTGACAATATACCAGCCACCCAGGGTGCTATTACCTATAGTCAGGCCGCTTCAGCCCGACCTAACCCACCCGAATTGGCCCCTACACATCAGCCCAACATCTGGCAATCTCAAGCCCAACCAGACCTAACCACACTAATGCAATCTCTCCTGCTCTCCATTAATGGTCTTTCCTCTAAGTTGGAATCAAAAATGGCTATCCAAGATCAAGCCATCCTTGCTCTAACCCAGGCAGTAAATTCAAACTCTCGCTAATGTCAATCCCCAAAAAAGCTACCCAACTAAAAATCATAGTATGGAACCTCAACGGCATCAGACCCCGCAGACTGGAACTTGAGGCGCTAGCCTCAGAAGCCACCCCAGATGTTCTCCTGCTTTCCGAGACCAAACTCAAAGCAGCTGACTCATTTAAGCTTGCGGGCTACTCAATATACAACAGGCCAAGACATTCCCAAGATGGGGGAGGTGGCACCATGGTCTTTGGTAAAACGCTCCCTAGCCCACTGCGCCGCCCCTGACCCCCTGCCTCTGGATAGTGCCCTTGAGGCGGTCGCGGTCTACGTAGAGACCACTTTCTCCTCCAGAATTAAATTAATCTCCGGCTACCTACCCTCAAATCGTGCCTTCTCGGCCGGTGACTTCAGGCGCATCATGGACGAAAACATTCCAATTTTTCTCGGAGGTGACTTTAACTCAAAGCACCCCACTTGGGGTAGCTCTACTACCAACGCGCACGGCAGGAACCTCTTCTCTGCTGCCTGGACGAGGGCTGGGATGTTCTAGGCCCGGAAGACCCTACCTACTCTAGGATTAACCACCCTCCTGACGTCCTAGATATTTCAATAATGTCAAATTACCTGCAAGATGTCACCGCCAAAACACACACAGGCACGTCCTCTGATCATAGCCCAGTACTTTTCCACCTTGGCCCACACACCACTTCTAATGAAACTAAGTCTATCAAAGTTACCAAGTGGAGCCAATACGTGTCACTCTTCGCAAATTCCATCCCTCCAGCTCTACATGCCTCCACCCCAGAGCAAATAGACTTCCTAGCCACTCAACTGGTGCAGCTCATCTCTTCAGCCCTGACTCAATCCACCCAAACAAAAATTGTACAGCCTAATCGCCCTCTCGCGATCCCACTGCACATCAAAAAACTGATAAAAACTAAAAGGCTAGCAAAGAAAAAAGCGGAGCGAACCCTAGATCCACGGGACAGAAATTCCTTTAATAGAGCCGCAGCCCAAGTCAAAGAAGCCCTGGCAGCCCACCGATCAGACAAATGGGAAGAAAAACTGACAAGCATGACAACAGCCGACAAAAACCTATGGGCATAATCAGAGGTCTCAAAAATAAAAATCCGCCCGCCTCACACCCTCTACGAGGACCCAACGGCCTGATATTCGATGACCCAGAAAAATCAGAATGCTTTGCGAACCACTTGGAGGAACAATTCTCTGACAACCAGCCCCTACAAAAGTATCACCAAGAAGACCTGGAGATGAAATCCTTCGTAGAGGAATTCATTCTTGAGCTGGACGATCAAACTATCCGACCTCTATCCACAAATGAAATGGTTGCCATTATCGCGAGTCTGCGAAATAAAGTAACCCCAGGCGGAGATGGAATTACCAACAAAGCCATTAAACTTTTCCCCCCAAATGCTATCGAATTCCTCCTCACACTCGTCAATTCCGTTCTCCAAGTTGGTCACTTCCCGAATTCATGGAAACATGCTAACGTCGTCCTCATTCCCAAGCCCAAAAAGAGTCACATGGCCCTGGATGGGTATCGACCCATCTCCCTGTTGCCATCCCTCTCAAAACTCCTCGAAAAGGCAATTAAGTCCAGGCTGGATGAAGAGATAGCCGATAAGAACCTGTTACCGGAAGAACAGTTCGGCTTCCGCCCTCAACTGTCAACAGAACTCCAACTACTGAGGATCACGGAAAATGTTACCAGGGCTTTCGACCAAAAACTAAAAGTTGGCATGGTCATGCTGGATCTCAGCAAGGCCTTTGACAGGGTGTGGCACACCGGACTGTTCATAAAAATTATAAACATGGACATTTCTCCCCCACTCGTCAGACTCCTAGCGTCCTACCTGGAGGGCCGCTCCTTTGCTGCCAGAGCCGGAGCTTCCGTGTCCAACTCCCGCCAAATCAGATCTGGGGTCCCACAGGGGTCAGTCCTTGGCCCGGTCCTCTTCAACCTGTTCATGACCGACCTGCCAAGAACTAGAGGAGTGGAAATGGCCCTATACGCGGACGACACCGCTCTCACCTACAAAGGCTCCAAATTCAAGTTTATGTCAACCAAACTGCAGCAGGCCTTAGACAAGGCATGGGCCGACAGATGGCGAGTTGCGGTGAATCCATCGAAAACCCAGGCTATCCTGTTCCACAAAGGCTATTCTACCCCCCCAGCCCTTACTTTCAAGCTGTGATATCATGTGCTTTGCTATTTCCAAAACATATTCGATGTGAGTTTTCCATGTAAGCTTACGATCGATCGTGACTCCTAGGTAGGTAACTTGTTTTGACCATGGAATGATCCTACCTTCATATTCCAGATTTGTCGGGGTAGCACCTCCACCTTTTGAGAGGTGGATAGCCTGGGTTTTCTGAGGGTTTACTTTGAGCCGCCACTTGTCTGACAAGGTTTCCATATTATTGCGGGCAATTTGTAATCTATGGTTTATCACTCGGTTATTGCGTGATCTGATGAATAAAGCGGTGTCGTCAGCGTACAGGGCTAGGTGTACCTCAGGAGTTCTGGGAAGGTCGGTCATAAAAATATTAAAGATTGTAGGGCCTAAGACTGATCCCTGGGGTACACCAGCTGTAATGCTATGCGTGGTTGACAGCGAGGAACCGGATCTGACTTTAAATTGGCGATTTGAAAGATAGGACGATATTAATTTGACAATGGAAGGTGAAAAGTTGAGGTTAATCATTTTTGCCAGTATACCGTGATGCCAAACTTTGTCGAAGGCCTTGGCGATATCTAAGAGAATTAAACCAGTTTTTTCCTTTAAATCGAAACCTAAATTCTGAGAGACGGAGGACTTGGAGTTCCGTGGATAAACCGCTGCGGAACCCGAATTGCTCATCAGGGAGGAGGTGGTGTTCGATAATTTGGTCCTCAAGCCTTTCCTTTAAGGCTCTCTCACAGATCTTAGCCAAAGAGGAAATAAGTGTTGAAAGATTAGCGTTCTAACATACACTCTTACTTATATATAATATACTTGTTGATGTTAGTTACGTATATTGTTTTGTTTTAACGCTGTATAAAAACTGTATTGCTGAAGTGTTAAAATATATGTATTAAACTAATATGGTGTTTAAACTAAAGCTTGCTCAGTACAATTTACAACAGGTTATGGGCACAGATAACGGAAAAGAATAAATTTCAAAAAGTAAAAGTTGAGATATTTTTTGACAGGCAAGAGTTGTCAATATGGGAGATTGTAAAGGAAAATTTGAAAAGTTGAATAATTCAAATTACATGAACTGGAAGTTCAAGATCGAGTTATTAATGAAAAAGGAACTTTTGTGGACGGCAATTAATAAGGTACGACCTAAGGATTTACCAGCTATAGCGACGAATGAAGAAAAAAAATCAAGACAACACCTGCAGGAGGAGTGGGATCGAATTGATGAACAAGCGTTTTCTTTGATAGGCTTATCCATTGACGATGACCAAATTGTTCATGTTCGTAGCGAAACTACAGCGCTAAATGCTTGGAACAAATTAAAGCAGTACCACGAAAAGGCAACATTGAGTAATAAAGTCCATTTAATGCGAATGATTTGCTCTTTAAAAATGGAGGACAATGGGCAAATTTCTGAACACATTAATGAGATGCGAAATTTGTTTGTGAAACTCAAGGATATCAGCAATGAAGAATTATCAGAGCCCTGGAGTGTCGCGATGTTGCTTAGTAGTTTACCCAAAACTTACGACACACTTATAACTGCACTTGAGGCAAGAAATGAGGATGATTTGACATTGGGATTTGTACAACAGAAATTAATTGCGGAATATGAGCGTTGTGTCCACTCAAGGGGAAGTTCTGGTTCCGAGACGATTCTGAAAGTTGCTGAAAAGAATAAACATCCAGATATCACCTGTTTTTTTTTGTAAACAGCCAAATCACATAAAAAGAGACTGCGCAGAATACAAAAGGTGGATTGAAAAAAGGCAAACGCAGAGATTGAATAGGAAACAAAATGGAGAACAAGTTAATTCAATTAACTCAGAGCATAATGATTTTGTTTTTTCAGTCAATCAACTAAGCAGGGACGGATGGTTGCTTGATTCAGGGGCAACGAGGCATGTAACCAACAGCAAGCAGTTTTTCAACTCTCTAGATGAATCATACAAGGCGACGATCGAGGTTGGAAATGGCGAAAGGATCAACGTGGTCGGAATCGGAAGCGGAAAGGTGAAATTTTCTAACCAGAGCAAACAAGCCCAGGAAGCGATAGCACATGAAGTATTATTTGCACCGGAGCTTGTTGGGAATGTTTTGTCAATTGGAAAATTGGCCGAAAACGGGTTTGAAATAGTATTCAGGCAGAATTATTGTGAAATAAACAAAAATA